TCAAAGCAAGCACCTTTGAATGCCATTGGAGCAAGTCGAGGACGACTTGCAGGCAAGAAGGGGAGAATGATGAGGACATCACCTGCTCAGATATAACCACATTGGCAACTTTTGATTCACAGGTGAAACAATTCTTTATCATGATTGTATTTGATACATTTGATGAATTGATGCTGCACCATGATGTGTGTTCATTCTCATTTTCAGAATTACTTACATGGATAAAGGGAAGGTTTGATTGCATATGGAAAGCATGGAAGGTTAATGAAGTTGATTGGGGACCAAATCCAAGTATTCCTAATGTCCTCCACTAGGCCACCACGTCACTTTGGTTCCAAGGACAGAAAGAGTCCAAGTCCAACACGTTTTGGAAGTTGAATTCGGACTGCAAAATAGTCCCAAATTGCGATGGTCGCCATGACTTCATATGGACTCCGATTGGGACGTTCTAGCACTTTTTGGAAAGCTTATCAAGTCTATTTTCCAACGGATCTGGACTCATGGCTATATCTTATCCGATGCTACCACAGTCGTCGTTTCAACGCCGGGACCTTTTCTGCCTTTGGTGCTGCGTCACCCTATTTTGGGCCGATGACCCATGTATCAAGTTGGGTCCATTAGGGACGTGTCCTAGGGTTAGAGAATGACCCCAACATACCCCTGGTCATTCCCTAGGTATTAATAAGGATTAGAGCCGCCACAAAGAGATTGGGTTTTATTTTGTTGAAAGTTTAGCCATTGCTACTTCCTTGTAGACGCGTGTGTCGACTAGACCATCCGTTCTACTTGATTCAGAACCCCAACTTTGTGATTTCAGATTGGTTTTCATCTCCATATTTGCAATTGAGTTGCTTGTTCTACTTGTTCTTGCTTGTTCCTCGATTGCTTGCAGGAATTACCCTAGTGGTTTGGTTGATCGCGCTCCACAAGATCGCGGCAGCTGTTGGAGGTGGTGTATCGGTTGCTAAGGCGCAGCTTGGAAGGCTGTAGTCAGGCCGTGAACATCATCTCCACCCATCAATCGAGTTATCCTACACCTCTCATCGAAAGATCGGGAACAAACCCTAGCGGGATCATATCATGATCTCCATTTCTAACAGCCTTTGGTGTTTAAATTTATTATACTGTCATTCAAAAAATATGATATCGAAAGGCACAAATGTTAGAGAAAACAGTTCAACCTATGTAAAAGGCAACCTTGGGGGAGACATCTCTCCCCGCTAAGGTACAAAAATCTTAAACCCTCTCTTTACATTCATGTTTGTTTTACATTTCAATATTCATGATCATAGAATATGGAGAGGAGTGCCATAAATTTATCTCGGGAGAAACTCTGCTCTAATAACATGATGATAAAAATTATTTGGAGATGATGAATAGTTGCTCTATGATACTTTGTAAAAGCTTGTTATACAACCTTATACTTCTTAAGTTTTGAGCATGATAATTTTGAGTTTGTCTTAAGTTGAATGCTTTTGTGGGTTGCAAATGTTGGAACCAAGAATAGGCTTTTGTGAAATATGTTGTAGCCATGATTAGAGTAAATCTTTGAACCTATCTGAGGAATGGTAAAAACAACCTAGAGTTTTGTTTTGCAAAATGCTAAAACTCTCTTGCTAGAAGTTCCTCAATGATGATAAATTCCTACCAGAGCCAAATACATACTCATTCATACATGATAAAGCCACCATGAAAGCTGCTTGTTTGTTTTGAACTTTTTCAAGCCTTGTTGATCTGAGTAGAGAAACTTTTCATGCTTTTTTATCAAGATCACATACACCCATATATTTATTCTATTCCTACACTGGGGATACGCAACCACATATGCTTTCCATTCATTATTGATCTATTCGAATCAAAGTTACCTACCTAGCTGTCTTACATAAAAAAAGAGAGGCATGGGCTACAGAAAAAAAGAGTGAGAAAGAATAAAAGAGCAAAAAGCTTTAGTGTTCAAAAAAGAGAGAGAAAAAGAAAGTAGCCATGCCCTCTCAAAAAGAAGCTAGAGAAGGAAAACTTCTCAAAGGAGTACCACTTCCACCCAATATGCCACACACATGCACATCTTGATCAATTTGCATGATTTGTTGCTCCTTGTGATCCAAGTATTTGGCTTAGCAATATATTCAATTCAAGTAAGCTATGCTTTAGCCCCCTACCTTGAGCTCCACATAAGCTTTAGGATAGAAATTGAGGCTAAAATTTATGGCCTTGGTGAGGATTTTAAACACCATTGAGTGACTTAAGTGTACCATCTGAGGAACTTAGGCAAGATTTCTTTTCAAATCTATTGAAAATCTTCAAGAAGTTTGAGCTAAATCGAAGTAGGCAAAAAGTATCTATCTAGCTACACATTCTTGCAATTGCTTGTGTCAAGGTGAAAGCTATAAGTCCCACGTTGCTAAGACTAATGGTGAAATTTCTAAGTACTAACATGTTCAACTTAAGAGATAGTATTTGTTTGTATATAAGTCTTTGCAGGGTGTTACATAGTAGTAACTCCTGATCCAACACCTATTCCATGCTAAACCCGCATCTTTGCTGAGGACAACAAAGGGGTAGCTTGGGGGAGCTTGTTGACGGTCACTAACACCCGTTTTGACCATCAATATTCCACCCAAAAGCAGGACAAAGTAAGGTAAATCATCATCACAATTGTAGAAATTTGTTTAAATTTCACCTAGTTCCACTTGTGCTTGTAGAAATTATTTGTATGCAGGAAATATATCAAAATTTGGCAAAAAGGTGACACATGGAAGCAAGTGGACGTGGCAGGAGGCCTTGGGCCCACTTGGGCCCACCACCCGGTCCCACTTAGGCGCTGTGCAGACCCCCAAGTGACACCTTGGCACTTGCCATGTCACCGATCCATGGGAGCCGCTCCACAAGCTCTCCCATACGTTGATCTAAGTCGGTTTCAACCGATGGCCATGATGAAGTTGACACGGATCCACTAGCCCACCGTCATAGACTTGGGAGACTCCAACCGCCTTCCAAACCGACCTACCGTCCGAATTTCACCATGTGCTGTCCAAGTAACTACCATTGGGAGCCAATCAGCACCCTTGGATGCAAAGGCGGTGCATCCAAGGGCCGACCAGCACCCCTATGCTGCCGCCTGGCCCTCCTATGGCCACCGACCTCCCTGCTGCCTACAAGTACCCCCATGCCTCTCTACACTATAAATAGAGGTTGTGGAGCTTGGTGGAAAGACGCCCCATTCATTTCCAAGCTCTCCAAGCTTCTCTTAGCTTTCTAGCTTAGCATTAACTATACAGTAGTAGTCTAGTAGTGGAGTAGACCAAGAGCAGAGCTTCTCTTGGAATCTAGAAGAGTCTTTTGGGTCTGGTATAGCTTCTTTGTAATTCTTTCATTTCAGCATTTACTTTATTCAGTATTTATTTTAAGTACTTTATTCTAGTATTATTGCTTTGCTTTACTTAAGTACTTAGTCATTAATGTTCATCATTAGTGAGCTTAGGTACTTATTATTTGGCATTAGTAGCATAGGTTATATCTTAATTAGTAGCTATTCGTTAGTACCAGTTCCACCGTCTGGTTAGGGTGCTTTGATCTCATTTCATCGGAGCTCGAATCGAAGTAGTAAGCCTATAGATTAAGCGTGTTTCTTAGGCTATAGATTATATGTGGATACGGCTAGGTCTACGGATAGATTGTGGTAGGTGGCAAGTGGTGACAGCCTTGTTCATCCTTTGTATTCCACACGATAGGTTTAGTTATTAAATTGTTGGGCTCTTGGCAGACCTTGTTTTTTTAACTCTCCTAGTTGGTAGGCGGGCTGTGCCCCGAAGTACTATCGCATTTCTCCTAGTCATGTATTTATCTTAGTTACTAGAAAGATAAATCGCTCGCTCTCTCACCTAGCTATCTCTAGTGTAGCTTGTATTTTGTAGTTAGTTTAGGTAGTTCATGTTCAACCTTCACTATCGTTCAACTACCTAGGATCAACTTAGGCCTTAACCTCTAGCCCAAAGATAAATTCTAGCCTTTCACCTTCCTATGGCATAAATATAAATTCGACACTAGGTACTCACCGAGCAAAGTGCTACGTGATAGTTCTGTGCGCTTACGGAATCCTCCAATAGTCGTTAAGAAATATCAACACACATCAGCGGATCATTTAATGCACACCAGTGAGTTGGCCACTCCAAAGTCTAGTTCGACAGAGAGCACCAGACGATTCGACGTAGGAAAAAGGGGCAGTAGCGGATCATCCGATGATGATCAGTAAGATGGTGAAAAAGATATTACGCTCACCAAACAATCTAGTGGCAGTTGAAAACGCAATAAGTAGATCATCTGGTGTTTGGAAAAATCCAACAGCTATTAACATCACTCGGACTCAATCTACATCTTTCATAATTGTTCCTCAATAAGAGTCAATTGGATTGGCTCACAGAAGACATTACAATCATAGTTGTATGAGAAGAAGAGTTATGCCACTTGCAATAAGCATGAGTTTTTAGTTCATAAAGCATCCATAAAGGATGTGTCAATAAAATAATGCATCTATTTTTTAACGTGTCGTCAAATATTCTATCACATTTGGTATTTCATCTCCTCTTGACAATTTCTATGAATCGGCTTAAGTGAAGGACAAGTAATAGATTTAGCTTGCAATGTTCATACAAATTCAGCAACAAAACAATAATTAGTTTCATTGTAAGCTATTAGAAAGGTCCTCAATGGTATGAATTTTAGGACGATGTAGGACTTATGAGGTTCTCTATCATCTTTACTTCTGCTTTCAACGGTTGAAACTTTTTGGAACAATTGATTTTAGGAAATCATAGTGTGATTGGTATGGTCTATTGGTAAGTATTTCTCCATAGTTTTATTTGTACCCCCAGCAGGCTACCATCATCTCCCATCATCCCCCAGCAGCCTACATCTGCACAGCATACCACCAGCAGGCTACAATCTCCCATCGCAACCATCGGCGATCGACGACGGCAGGACAGATGAACCGGAGGATATCCATGGAGGAGGGCGAGGCGGTGAAGCCGACGAGGAGCTTCCGCTACGAGGACTACAGCACCAGGCGTGTGTTCCTGCACAGCTACCCGCTGCAGTGGGACTGGTCGCCCGCGTAGGACGACGAGAAGGACGGCCTGAGCCCCGCGGACGCGGAGGCTGCGGCCGGGAACAGGGTGGATGCTGCTGATGGCGACGAGTGCTGCAGCGGCAGCAGGCGGTGGAAGAGGCAGGTGGTGGCGGCCGTGACCGAGTGGGGGGAAGACAAGCTGCTGCTGCTCCGGAGGGCCAAGAAGCGCCTTGCACTCTACCTGATCGGCTGCCACCACCATGGCCACGGCCGCCACGCGCTGCCCTTCCCGTCGGCCGGCGGATCCTGCACCGTCGCCATGCTCACCTCCAGATGATCGATCCATCACCGTGCACGCACGGCATGCATCATGTGCTGTGTGGTAGATGATCGATTCATCGGTCGGTCCACGTCTTCCTCTCTTTGTAGTGTACATATATATACTACTCTCTGCTTTGATTGGCGGCTTCGTGCTCTCCCAAATGAATTGAAATTAACGTACTCATGCTACCAAAACGTTGGTTATATACATACCACTGGTAAATAGGATCTATATAGCAGAGCTATTAAATTAAGAATTTTGCTCCAGTAGTCATTCCAAAAAAAAGGTTGCATACATCTTAAAGCAACTAAATACTAATTTTTTTTTATGAAACACTAAATACTAATTAAATAATTCATGATTTTACTCATGGGTCTTGTATGGGCCTAGATACACACCCTAAGCCCTGCGCATGTCCAATCGATCTAATTATTTTGGATCCTATCCACTACTGTTTTCCTTGGTCGTGTGTGATGTGATCGTGTGCTGAGTCACGCTGAGCCAGCTGGCCGCCGCCTGTGTACGGCATGCTCGCGCCTTGCCGCGGCGCCGGTATAGACTGCCTGGCTGCATGCCGTTTTTTTTAAAATATAATATTTTATAATGAATAATTGCAAATCTGGTTAACGTTTAAAATGAATTGTAATTTTAGTATCGTGTCGGCCTTCGAAAAGATGATAAGACCCCTATTGGTAGCTGGAGGGCCGATTGGATCCTGTTGGTAGCTCAATCGCTGACTTGGCCCACCGGGTGGATAGAAACCCTTTCCACGTCCGCCTTATTTTGGCCGGTAGTCATGTCAACCATCCAGCGGCTGACAGGATTTTATCGGTCCACGGATGGCCGACAGGGCCAAAATATCTACTACCCATCTTCCTTCTCGTACCTCCTGTTCCACACACACGAGACAGAGATAGAGAGAGAAAGATTAGAGGTCGGACGTGTGCCTTTGAAGGCATGGTAGCCGCCACCGCCACCGCCGTCGGTGGCCCCATCTAGGCTATGCCGCGCCGCCCCCATCTCCCCTACCGCTACCCCTGCCTCGCCTATAGGTAAGGTTGTTCTTCCTTTTTTGCATTTTTTAACAATAGGATTTGTAGTTAGATGTTTATTGTTGATTAGGATTTGTACTTAGATAGATTTAGTTTTTGGGTAATTTAGTCTCTATAGTTTGATTTGATTTGTTAGGGTTTTGGAAGTTAGTTTAGACTATGATTAGATTAGGCTTTTAGTTAGGGTTAGTTTGAATTAGTGTAGACTATGGATAGATTATTGTTAGTTTAAGTTTAGTTCTTTGTTAGGTTAGGATTAGGGTTAGTTTTTTAGCAGGTTAGGGTTAGTTGCTTTGTTAGGTAAATTTCTTAGTTTAGGGTTAGTTGTATAATATAGCCACTAGATTATAGCCACAAGCAAGTTTTAGCTTGACTACATGAATATTTCGGTGTTCTGCCCTCCAGCAACGTTTTAGGATTAATATTTTGGTGCCGAAATTGTGAGAGAATGGATGGAGATGGGAGTTGTGCGAGGCCAGTAACACGAAGAAATGGAAATTACTTGTGTGTAAGGTGTTGGAGCGTGGTTATAACAATATCATGCTTATTGATGAGTTGCTCAATGGAGGCATGCAAGCTGAGAGTAGCAACACAGTTATATTACAAGAGAACTTAGGGGCCACAATTGCTAAGTAGACCTATGTTTACGATGAGGCAGTTCAGAACACGACATAGGATGCAGAAGAGGAAGAATATGGTTCACAGATGGAAGCTGAGCATGGTGAGGAGGTCGACAGAATCATCGAACAGATGGAGCCTGACGATGCCGAGCACCTCACCTTTGTGGCTGAATTTGCTGGTAGGAGCTTCAATGACGAGACCGATCGATATCCCTGTGGATTGGACTCACATCACACCGGATGCCATGACGATCGACGATGGTCATCATTCATCGTGTGAGTATTCAAAGAAGGAGGTCAGGCAAGGGCATATGTTTCATGACAAGGTTCATCTGCAACATTGTTGGTATTTCTTATGCTCAAGTAGAGAATTCTACAAGCACAGACATAATACCGTTGTAGCACTTCACCAAGAGTATTCCAATGTATCATTATTTATTTATTCCCTAGGGAAAGCAGAAGCTAGGAATGACAATAAATGAGAGATCTTAGTGTTACCACAACTTTGTTATTAATAGTGTAGTGGGGGTAATCGAATTTGGATAGGAAGGGTGATGAAACAAGTCCAAGACACGAAGATAAAGATAACTTAGAAAGATAACTAAACAGGTATAGCTAGATGGGAGGACAACGAGAGAGTATAAGGTTCCTATGATCCAACTCTACTTCTATGGTTCTATCTTAATCACATAGTTGTAGCAAGTAGATTGAGTCCACACAATGGGTACACGAGGCGAAAGATGAAACAAGAGGACAAAGGTCTTGTCCGAAGCAACTAACTTTTTATGGGGCCTTACTGGTTTTTATTAACTTACCTAAGAACACGTGGTGCAATACAAAGGCTAGATATAGCTGTCACCACCTACTAGCTACCATAAACAATCCATGCGACAAGCAGCACCACAAGCAAGATATAGTATAAACACCACGTTTATATACTTCAAAATCTGAAACAAAGGTTAAATTGTAAATAAATAGAAGTAGCATCTGTATAAACACCTTATTTAGTTCTCATATCACATAACTTTAATTTTAATTCCAATACTTTACATTCCCACATCAAACTCATGAATATGTAAAGTTCCTGTATATGTGACATGCCTTTAGACAAATATATAATATCCAAATTCACGGAATTTTGAATCTGGCCAAGAAGTAAATTAATCATAGAAAAGAAGCTAACATTCTATGACATAGTATAATACTAGCAAGTGCAACATGCAGCACAAATGTGTGCACATCTCATACATCAAACTTGTTCCATAGCAGAACTGCAGAAACATAATGCAGCCCGAACTGTAAGAAACTAGATATAATTTTTATTCAAAAAAGATAGATGTAACAAAAGTATAAATATTCATAACAGAAGCTCTAGATTCTTCCTTTATTTTATCCCATGGCCCATTGATCAGCATTTCCCTCCTTGGAGTTGTCACCATGTAGTCAGCACTACTTCTTGAATCTAGCCACCAGATTGTCATCCAACCGGCCTGTATGGTGGAGCCATCAGACGTACGAAGAGCGGGACCCAACCGTAGGGCCAGGTCAATGTCGGGTTTGACTCCAACAGGAGTTGTCCTCGGAGCAACTCTGTTATGGTTGTCTCTCACGAGACTTGCTAGATGTGACATGAAAGGACTTCCAGCATAAGCAAAAACTGTTTTGTAGCTTGGCCAAGGTACCTGCTGCTTGGTCTGGTTTGGCCCTTGTGGCAAGACTCCATCAGTAGATGATGAACTTGGTTGAGCATCACTGCATAAGAAAAAATATGTGTTGTCTGGATAATACTTAATGTGCTCAACAGTCCCCTTAGGCATGCCGGCCTGGACATGTTGTTTGCAGTAGGAAGCCATGGCTGGTTGGGAACTAGACTCCTTGGTGCATTGTAGGCATACAAATGTGGGCTTAGCTAGTTCTCTCTTCTTAAGATCTGATATTATTTTGGTTAGGCAAGGTTTTGGAGGAGGCTGATGGGAGAAGTAGGCCTTCCATGATTGATCCTCCATGGAAGGTCTACTAAGGAAACAAAAAGGTGTTGATTTCTGCCTATAGATTCTACATGTGCCTCTACCACAGTTTCATGGCTTCTTATAACAGGAGGTGGGGGTTGTTGAAGGGTGGAGATTATTGAAGATTAATGTCCAAGCAAGATTTTGCCTTCGTATCTTCACATATTTTAATTTCAGTTCAATGATTTCCGTTAATGTTATAGCTCTCCGAGTCGTAGATCACTTCAAATATCGAAAATATAATAATGGCGTGTGGCATATAGAGATATTTCACTTGAATGAAATAAATGGGTCAAGATTCTAGAGATACAACCACAAATATACAAAATCTATAAGATATGGTATAAGAGTGAAGATGGTATACATTTAATTATCTATCCTAGTCAAAAGTTTGATCTAGTGACATTCTTCATTTAAATCTGTAATCTTAATTAGATGACAATTCAACGACCACAGTGAGCATGCGCTTGAGAAATCTTGGATTTGTACGACCATAAATGATAATTGTGATTTCAAATGATATGGACTATCATGACTAGCTAGAGACATTAATTGTATGAGGTACTGGCACCTAGAGCGTGAGCTCTCATTTAATGTGGTGAATATCAGATATCCTAGTAGTTGATCGGTTGATTATTTAGGCCAATCCCAACCCAAACACCACAAAATAGCTAATTTCTATCCCGGCCATCTAGAAGCTATTGTTACCACTGCTCTGAAACTTGGCTGAAACTGGTTGAAAAACACTGTTCCGGCTGAATTGTTGTGAGAGAGAAACACTGTTCCAGTTGAAAAAAGAAGCCGAACAAGCCGAATATGGGGTAAGCCGAACAGGGCCTATATCTATCCATAGCCTAAGGGCGTTCCCAACAACTATCAAATCGCTAGCTGAGTAGGCTTGGTGGGAGGTTCGGATTGACGTGGCGGGGAGAAAACGAGAAAAAAGTGAAACGCTAGCGACTTCTTCGGCGCTAGCGCGGAGCCTATTAAAGCGAACGCAGATAGGTGCATATTGCTTTTTTACTCTGGCCGCCAATCACAGTATCCGATAGAGAGAGTAATTTATTATTAACTAACATTGACATATGAGTGCACGTCCGATTCGGTCCTGTGGCAGCTTTCGAAATCGATAGCACCGCTGCGGATGCCCTAAGCAACTATGCAGCCACTCATCATTCTTCCCCACCAATCACGAATAAACAACTTGCTTCCGGTGCAAAATTTGATAGTGCATGTCTAGTGCAATAGTTTTTTTCCCTTTCAAAACATGTCTTGCATGAGATCTGATGGCTTCCACTCTCCCTTCTCTCTCATTTATTATATCATTATATCACATAAAAAAAATCCAAGGTGGCACCACAGTTGCTGCCTGAAAACCATTATAGTTGGAGCATTACGAATATGTACCCTTATATTTATCTCATGCTGGTCTTTACTGTGTTGTGTGGATCAATGTTTATTTCTTGACAACAACAGTGTAACATGGATAAATTAGTGTAGGAGCAGCAATGTATCCATGTCCATCAGAAGCTGTTATTAAATATATGAAACCATTGAAAGCATGCACGGAGTCAATATGGAATTTCAAATAAAGACGTCAAGAAGCACCTCATTGCACTAAAAACGTGGTTCAAAGTGGTTTGTAAAAACATATTATGTACCGCCTCTACGGATAGTACCCTAAACCGCTAGTGACACAACATTTCATCTTGGCGGGAGTGCGAGGGGTTTTCCAGGACGTTTTGGTGCCTTGGCGGAGGCAAAAGCGAAGACAAAAGACCAGGACCGACCTCGTCACTCAGAGTGTGCAACACATTGAACCCTGACTGCTTGATAGCTGCATCTAGCTCCAACTCCTTACAGTGGTCGGTACCATCCCTGGGCGCCGTCGCGAGAAGAACACCAACTTCTAGTATAGGAGGCTACAACGGGAGATCTCCAAACTTATATACAAATTCGGTATGAGCTATTCTCTCGGCGTAGTTTTATCTTGAGTTACTATATTAGTGCAGAACTTCCGAACCAACTTATGAACCTATGGAACTTCTACAGGTGACTATAATTCCGCTTTTTGAGTTGTGAATTTTGCAGGAATCATCTATTCAACCCCTCTCTAGGTAACATCTTGGTCCTTTTAGGTTATGGATTGACCTAACAGTGACTTACGCCGTTGCATCCACATACCACAATTAATCGGTTCTCTACCGGCAAATTAATCTAGCTACCCCATCGCTTCTGGTTATAAATAGACCCCTTAATGTGCTCATGTAGTCCACATATCGAGGAACCCATGTCCAGAGATAGCTTCATTCTAAGTTCATGTAGGCTGCCATGTCTAAAAATAGCTTCATTCTATGTTTTCTATGAGCTTTTGCAAGAGAAATCTTTTTTCTAGGAGAAAACACCCCATATAATCCTTCCCTTCATAGTCAGGTTGGTGCATGAGAGATACCAGAAGAAAGTTACTGAAGACGGAGCCACGAGGAATCTAAAACATGCTGGTTTCAATGCTAGAGTGATCCGATTGGTTCTTAGGTAGCATGGACTTAGGGAAAGGCTTTGGCCTAGTCCATTCTCCTAGCTGTAAGGATCGTGTGCCCATGATCATAGATTTTAGTTTTGCTGATTTAGATGACCATGCAAAGCTTAGGATTAACATGTGTTCTAAAGATATGTTAGACAGGTTATAATAGGTCCTAGTGATGTAACCGAATGAGTGGTGCGAAGATTTGCAAATAAAAGGAACAAAAATAAAGAAGTCTAGATAAAAAGCAAGCACCGGATGTCCAGTGGCAGAGGGAATGCACACGTCAGACAATTGATGAGCATAATCACCTAGGGAAGATTGATTCATTGGACGATCGGTGAGAAGAAGTGCACATCAGCGGATCATTTGATGCACACCAGTGAGTTGGCCACTCCATAGTCTAGTTCGACAGAGAGCACCAGACGATTCGACGTAGGAAAAAGGGGCAGTAGCGAATCATCCGATGATGATCTGTAAGATGGTGAAAAAGATATTACGCTCACCAAACAATCTAGTGGTAGTTGAAAATGCAATATGTAGATCATCTGGTGTTTGGAAAAATCCAGCAGCTAGTAAACAGCATTCGGACTCAATCCCATCTTTCATAATTTTTCCTCATTAAGAGTCAATTGGATCGGCTCACTGAAGACATACAATCATAGTTGTATGAGAAGAAGAGTTATGCCACTTGCAATAAGCATGACTTTTTAGTTCATTAAGCGTCGATAAAGGATATGCCAATAAAATAATGCATCCATTTTTAAGGTCTCATCAAATATTCTATCACATTTGGTATTTCATCTCCTCTTGCCAACTTCTATGAATGGGCTTAAGTGGAGGACAAGTAATAGATTTAGCTTGCGATGTTCAAACAAATTCAACAACAAAACAATCATTAGTTTCATTGTATGAGCTATTAGAAAGGTACTCAATGGTATGAATTTTAGGACGATGTAGGACTTATGAGGTTCTCTATCATCTTTACTTCTGCTTTTAATGGTCGAACCTTTTTGGAACAATTGATTTTAGGAAATCATAGTCTGATTGGTAAGGTCTATGGTAAGTATTTCTCCCTAGTTTTATTTGTACCCCCCAGACTTTCTTGTACAGATTTAGTTATCTCCTCCCTAAACTAGTCAAAATATTCATCCCATTAGAATAAATTGTCCGTTTGGGATATCCTAGGTTGTGCATTAGGCAAAATATTCCTTTGTGGTGGTTTGTGAGGTTTCGGCCAGTTTGGGATTGCTCTGCTCCACATATTTAGCTTCGCTCCATGTTTTTTCCGCCAAACAAGTACAACTGCACAAACTTTGCTCTTGGAAAAAAATGTGGAGTTGTGAGAGCATCTAAAAGGGTGCTCCAGAAACTCTAGTTTTTTGTGGAGCTTCTTCACGGTAGAGTTTGTGGAGTAGAGTTGTCGAGTAGTCTCAAGTAGGTCCCTAGACAACACTGTAGTATGAGCCAAAGTAGTGTGCAGTGTTGTTATTCTGTTCTTCAGTTTGGGTGGTAGAAACCAAATTTGGCATGAATGTTACAATTGTGAGTGTGGTAGTAACGCCCTCTAAATTGGTTTTGGCCACTTAATTGGTCAATTTGGGTTGGCTATATGCTGCATAACATATTTTCCTATACAAATCCTAAATGACATCCCACATTTTTGTCCTGTACAAACCAGAGCCGATCCGCTAATTAACTCACACTACCATAGACAAGCACATCTCTGTCGGTTCAAAACCCCCATCACTGTCGGATTTTGAACCGACAGTAGCATACCGGTAGTGATGGTGGCTCAAGCTGGCTGTATTGGTCGAGCCATCACTGCTGGCTGGTGGTTCTAGCCGGCTATGTTGGTGAAGGCAACACTGCAGGCTCGTGGCTCGAGCCGGCAGTGATGCCTTCAACAACACTGCTAGTTTGTATGTCAAGCCAGCAGTGATGTCTAGAGCAACATTGCTGGCTCATGGCTCAAGTCGGCAGTGCCCTCTTTACCATCACTGTCGGTTTTGTGGTAACCGGCAGTGATCTCTTTTTCGCATTTTACTATTTTATAATTTATTTTCTGTTATTTTTTTCGTGGAATCGGGTTTTGCTTTACATTCGCTACGTAGACGACAGGTCCATCAATATTAAACATTACAAATGTTACAGTTACAGTTCAAATGTACTTATCAAGATCTCGATCGCTCAAAATAAAAAACAAATTACAATAGTCTATCGAGCCGCTCTAGCCCGTACTGGTTCTTGAACTTCATGGACTGTGCAATGGAGAATGTTCCGTCTCTTTCCAATACCCCCGATAGGATGAAGGATGCTA